CAAAACAACAATAAAAAAATTAAACTCCTATCAGATTTATAGTTCCCATTCTGCAGATCTATTAGAATCTGTCCTTAAATTACAGCCAAACCCATTTACACAGTAACAGATAAAAACCTTTAGATAAACCAAATATTACCGCCACATATCTGACTCTATAACCATTAAAACAACTATTTTCATTCATTTCAGACGGAACTATTCACTGAGTTGTATTATTATATTAAACTGAACTTCAAATTTTCACAACTGTTCTGCGCCAAGTAACATTTCCTCTGATCACGGAGCAAATCCCGATGATGAGACATTTGTTCTTTCAATATCACCCTCCCCCCCGCTCCAAGGTGTCCTGGTTTTCCCAAATGAAAATATGGTCACCCTAGATAAAGACATAAATGAAATAAGTTATTTGGCGCTCCGTTTCTGGCAGAAGACTTGGTTTGAATCAATATTTGCTTTATGAGTAACCTATAAATACTCTGTAATCACACTCACAAAGCCCTGCATCACATGCTTTACCGCCTTGCTAGTCCATATGCTGAACTGGCAGCTGGAATTAACAGGGGGAAATAATTTTTTTATATTAACATATTGTAAAATTATTTTATATATTACACATTGTTTGCAAATCTGACTGTATGCAGCTCAGATGAGAAACCAACTGTCTCTATCAGCTTGTTGAGCTTCTTTAAATCATTTGCTCTGATGCTGACACTACTGCAGATAATCATGGAATAGATTGCACTCTCCACAAGAGAGACTGAATGGCCTAAACTGCCTCAGGAAGTAGGGTTTTGCAAAAACCACTAAAGGGGCAGGTGCCTAAAAAGGCACATATCAGATTATTGGGTAGAATATTAGTTAGAATCTAATCTTGTAATGATCTCAGAACTAGGACCCTATATTCAAGGTGAGTGGGAAGGTAGTGGGAAAGTTCAAAGCGTTTATTTAAAGGTACACTATGCAACCGGTGTTGATTTTCCAGCGAGGCTCCCCCCAGAGGGCGAAAGTAAAAGTGCACTGTCGTAAATATGCTCAGCTGTTCTCCTGGTTTCTCCGTCAAGCCAGGCGCGGTTGTTTTGAGCTTAGCAAACAGGCGAACGCAACGAATGACTAACACAGTGAAAGTATGAACATGCACACAGAGAGAGAGAAACCATTCCAATGTTACTTACAATCGCATCAGCAGAAACGCGAGGTCCGCGTCAGCCTTGCAGCCTTCTTTTTATTTTAGCTCTCGCCATTCGGAAAAAGCTTGCCCGATGTTCACCCGTGTACGACTCCTCTCTCTGTCCGGAGCCCTTTTCCTCTTTCTTGCCTGCTCCGACATGGGCTTTCGCTGTTTTCACGCTGGTTCCGCCTTGATAATTGCACAAAGATCGCCACTGCGCTAGTAACGAGCATGCTTTTAACTGGGGGCGTGTAGCAGTTCTCGCCGTAAAGCAAGACCCACTCTCGCGAGACTTCTGAGCCTGTGGGTGCGGGCCGAGGGCTCCTGCAATTGCAAGTGCGGTATTTCCCCCACAGACCACCAGGGTGGCCGAGAAAACCTTTGTTCAACCTGAAATGACTCATTTAATCATCCAAAACGTTATGGAACACATTAATTAACTGAAAAATGTTGCATAGTGTGCCTTTAAACAACCAGGAACGCAGGGCCGCTCGGCTCACTGGATTCTCTGGCAAAGCCAAAAACTCGGGTTAGTGACTTTAAATCTAAGACGGGCCACAACTATAAGCACTATAAGTCTCTAACCTGGTTCAGAGTTCAGAGCCGCCCCTCAGAGTTCCTAGTGAAAGAGCAGAGCAGACAAAAGAGCAGGCGCCAGCTGCGTCCGTGAGGGGAAATCCAAAGCTGGAGTCAGAAGACAGGTCCAAGTTCAGTAATCATTCCAGAATCCAGGAATGAGTCCAGAGAGGATCAAGCTAACAGCAAAACAGGGACAAACCAAACACTCGGAAGACCCAAAAACAGAACTTGAAAACTTTTTTGGAATGACTACTGTATGACTGAGAATCTTCACCAGCATAGCCTTGTTCTGCTAGCTTTGCTAATGTTTCCTCTTTTTACCATCAAAGTTAATGTCCTACCACTCCTTCTAAAAACAAGTATCAGTATTTATAACGGTGCTGGTTTGTAGCCGGTGCCTTTTGTCTTTTTCCTTCCTTCTGATCCTTGTTGTTTTTCGGTCTCTCTTGCTCCTTCACAAACTACAGGGAATTGGGCTCAATATGTTGTGTATTTTTAAACTGCTGTGACAAACTGAAAGCAAGGACATGGGCACATACACACCATTGCTTTTGCTCAGTCTGGAATAGTTTCAGGTACACAGATTTCCATACGAGCCACAAAGAACACTGATTATTTATTTAGAGCAGAGGTCTTCAACAGGGGGTCCACGGGGGTACTGCATGGGGGTCGGGAAAGTTTTGGTTAAATAGACTTCTTTTTATATTCACCCCTGCAATTTTTCCACTAATTGAAATGCCTTTAAATCCACATTAACATGAATTCCACACACTGTATTAAACAGATAAATGGAGGCAGAAGATGTCTTTCAGTCATCAATGCTCACATTCAGAGACACACAGGAGCTCTTTCAAACCTGGGCACCGTTTCATTCACAACACCTGGAATCAGAATCATAAATACTTTAATAATCCCAGGACTAAATTATCGTAAATCCTCTAATATAGGACGGGGCCTTTATTTCACCCAGGTACATCTTGGTCCAGGCCATTATTGGAAGGAGGCCAGAATTGGAGGCAGGCCTCTATTTCTATTTGAGCAAAACATATTACCAGTGGAATTAATAAAAACAAGATTTTGTGTCTATTTGAACCTATAAAATACTAAATTCATTTATTGAAAAAGTTAACATAGTGATATACAGAACATTTTCAACAAATACCGGTAATTCAGACATCTTCCAGCAGCTTCCAGGCAATTTTTCTGCATGGCAATACGAATCTTTGCCAAACCGACTGGCGAAACAAAGTAAAAAAAAAAAAATGGGACAAAAACTGTTCTGCCATCAGAGCGACATTGAGTGCATTGTAAACATTTTCCATGGTGATAATTATTCATAACAAAAGGCAACTTACAGTTTTAACCACCTTGCCGCTCACTCAAATAGTCTTGCTTAGTTTGAAGTGAAACAAAAAAATAAAAATTCTCCAATTCTGTTTAATCCTCCACAATTTCCTCCTCCTCTTCATCTCTCCCCATAATCTCCTCATCATTTTTGGATTAGGACGATTGAGGCGACTACGATCTCTGTGTAAGGATAAGACTTCCCATGCTAATGGCTTGGATTCTTTAGCAAACATTTCCCCCCGGCCTGAATAAGAGTTTCCGGCCAGTATTTACCTCCACCGACAGCGACACAGGCCATTATTAGAGACCCGGCTGCTAATGAAATACAGGCCAATATTAGAGGATTTACGGTACTTTGATTACATGACTTCATATTATATAATGGAGTGACTATAGGACCAGTTTGATATAGCACAATTTCATACAATATATATAATAAGGGGGTCCCTGCTCCATCTCGCCATCAGTTTGGAGGTCCTTGGCCTGGAAAACGTTGAAGACCCCTGATTTAGAGAATCAGGTGCAACTCAAACCTTGTCTGTGGTAAAGCCTTTTAGGGACTCTTGATCGGTCAAGACGAGAGCCTTGGCCACATCCCATTACTCCTGATGACGGATGATCCCCTGGTCTGGCTTTATGACCTGATTGACTTGGTCATGTATTTCTATGTTAAGTTGATCTGTCTCCCTTTGAAAAATCCTTGAGAAGAAATTTGATGCGAACAAGTTATTTGAATACAGTAAATTTAACTAAAGTGAATCCATGTGTAGCAGTGAAGGGTACTGAGTGTTATTTTCTTTTTTATTCCTAGTTTCTTGGCTTATGATACGGTATTGTCCTCCCATTTTTATGCTTTGAAAGTGTTTAGTATGTTTTGGTGCAGTAAAGAGACACCGATCTAGACTTCAGTAAGCACAGAACACAACTGCCTTTTGGAGTGACAGCGAGAGCCAAAAGTGGTATCTGAGATGACGGTTTTAAAAAACCTTTTTTGAAAAATGCCATATACCAGTTGGGAACCAACATAAGCCAGTTCCCAACAGGCATATGTCGTTTTTTAACTGACATATGCCATGTGCCACGTTTGGCTATGGGTGCTGCTTCCTTTGGACTGGAGCTCAGCTGCTCTTGTTTTTTCAAGGTGGAACGCATACGTAGAATCGTCTGCCTGACTTTTAAGAAGGTTCCCAGGAAGAATTGTAGTCAAGTTTCTGACAGCTAATGGGGAAACAATAAACTTCATGCATTTGTGTCAAATTTCCTGCACCCCTGTCCTGTTGCTGAAATTGCCACAATAACCTTCTTTGCAAATAAAGAAATGCAGCAATATTTATTTTCATAAATCATCTTGAAGCTGAAATTGTTTATATTTCAGCCAAAGTTTCATCGCGGTCTTGTGTTAAGCTTTTTGTAGAACTACTAAGTGTCATGAAGCGGTGTTTGTTAGGAGGACCCAAATGCAGAGACCAGTAGGCAGAGGTGAATTAAAGTCGGTTTATTTAAGTTCTCAGATCCAAGGGCAGGAATCAAAGTCCAACAGAAAACTACTAACGCACCTGAAACAAGGAGACATTGGGGGAAAACCAAAACTAGAAGCCTAGGAGAGACGAGGAACACAGACAGAAGTTAGACGAGCATCCAGCAAACAGGAACTGAAGAGGGAGGGCTTTTAAAGGGGACAGAGACAAAGAGAGGGCTAACGAGGGAATTGAAAACAGGTGAAGGCAGAACGGAAAAACAGAGCAAGGGAGGACACAAGAGGGCAGCAGAGAACAACAAATGGAAAACCAAGAAAAACAGGAACAAACAGACCAAGACTCTGACACTAAGACCTTAGTCCAAATTCAAATGGTAGGTGTTTCAATGATGTTTGTGTATCATTCAAAGAAAACAAAATAGCTACTAATTTGTGTAGTATAATTTTATTTGTCTAATGCCTTCAGCGCTGAATCAGATGCAATATATTTATATATATAGATGATTTAAAAAATGCTCCTGAAAAGTGATTCTGATGTTAAGCAGTAATAACAATTTCGGCTGTTTTAATGACATAGACCTTAAGGCTTAAGGCCAGTTGCAACACTTGCAGGAATCCCAATAAACAAGGCCAGGCTGACAGCGATGTAGGTAAGTGATTCCCTGGAAGCACTGGAAGTAGGTGTTCTTATCAGCGAGGTTCTCATACAACCCATCAGGACGGCCCTTGCAAAAATCAGCAATGGGATCCCTGGTGGTTGTGGGTCGTGGGGTGGTGGTTGGCTTTGGACCAAAACCTTCATACAGAGACAACAGAGAATATGTATATTCAGGTGAGGTAGTTACAAAAATAAGATGCTAACAGTTCACCAGATTTGAAGAATATTTACCCATTGACAATCTAAGATGGTTTATGAGGGGGTAAGGTCCATCTGAACAGAAGGATCCACTAAAGTCATCCATGTCCAGAGTCCACACATGAGCACCACCCAGAGAGGCTTTGGTCATCCACTGGACCTAAAAGTTCACCAACAGTTAACCAGAAGAATCCACATCAAATGGTCATTAGACTGATTGAAGCAGGTGAAACTGAAAAAGAGAGCTTAGCTCAAAGAGCAGAAGTTCTTACCTTGGAAGAAAAGCTGCGCTTGTCATCGTAGCCTACCCAAGCACTGCCATATGTGGCATATGGAACCTGCTGCTCAGAGATCCATGAAAGTGTTGCACTGTTGGTGAAATCACAGATCTGGGAAGACAGAAAATATATGAAATATTCTGTGATGTATATATTTTTCAAACCAGTTTTAACTTAGCCATCTCCTTTTCATTTTTACATTTATTTTACTGATCCACGTTTCTGTAATACTAGTGTCTTGTTAATTAAGAGTGGACACATTTAGCTTTAATTAAAAGCTTTTGAGTCATTAAGCAACATTTCAGTACTTTCTTTATCACTTATTTCAGTAAAAATTTAGCTAAGTTTTTTAATCATGAATTCTTACCTCATAGTAGGCCCAGAACCCAGCTGTGCGAGTGTAGGGTCCAGCATCTGCAGGGCCATTTGATGGAGCTCCCAGTTCACTTGCCGATGTGCTGAGACGGTAAGTTCGGCCATAAGTGGGAAAACCCAGGAGCAACTTCTCTGCTGGTGCTCCCCACATCCGCCAGTGAGATACAGAGGAGTTCTATGGAGAAACGGTCACAAAGTAAAGTGTAAAGCTTTTGGACACACTGACTTCATGCATCTGTTTAAGTAGTAAATATACGGATCAATTTAGGACAACAACAATATTCTTCCATCATAACTGAGGCTTACAATTCATTTATTACAGTTTATTTATATAGTGCCAATTCCCCACACCCAATTTCAAACATGTCCAGTAGGTCTGAATACCTGTTTTTTCTCAAGATTTATTTGATCAGAAAAAAAAAAAAGACTCCACAAGGCTGCCGTGATTATCACTGAGACAGCCTATGGCCACATGGACGGCTTATTGTGAGTAGAGATAAATGATAATAAAAATGATAAGATGCTCATAAATGCAATGGGGACAGTGTTATGCGTGAACGCTCTCATTGAATAGTGTTTGCTGATATATAAGTATATATAAGTATATATAAGTATATATAAGTATATATATATATAAATGCTAGACCGTAGACATTTGTATATATGTATATATACATATATATACATATATATATATATATATAAATGCTAGACCGTAGACATATGTATATATATATATATACATATATATATACATATATATGTATATATATATGTATATATGTATATATACATATATACATATATATAAATATATATATATATATATATACATATATATATATGTATATATACATATATATATATGTATATATACGTATATATATATATATATATATATATATGTATGTATATATAGATATAAAAATGCTAAACCGTAGACATATGTATATATACATATATACATATATGTATGTATATATAGATATATAAATGCTAAACCGTAGACATATGTATATATACATATATACATATATGTATATATACATGTATATATATATATATATATATATATATATACATATATATATATATATATATATAAATGCTAGACCGTAGACATATGTATATATACATATATACATATATATATGTGTATATATATATATATATATATATATACATACATATATATAGACATATATGTATATATATATATATATATATATATATATATAAATGCTAGACCGTAGACATATGTATATATGTATACATACATATATACATATATATATGTGTATATATATATATATACACATATATATACATATATATATATACACATATATATACATATATATGTATATATATATATACACATATATATACATATATATGTATATATATGTGTATATATACATATATATATATATATATATATATATACGTATATACATATATGTATGTATATATATATATATATATATATACACATATATATGTATATATATATATATATATATATATATATATATATATATATGTATATATACATATATATATATATATATATATATATATATATATATATATATGTATATATACATATATATATATATATATATATATATATATATATATATATATATATATATATATATATATATATATATATATATATATATATATTTATATATATATAAATGCTAGACCGGTTTCCTATGTTTATGTGTAATTATGCATGTAAATGTGTTGAAAAACATTTTCCAAGTAAGTTCACCCATTAAAGTCAGCATAAAGGACTAATTTAGACAACTGGACTGATGATAACCCTTAAAGCATCGCAGAGATGAAGCCACACATTTCTATCCAGTCTTCCTCCTTTCTAAAAATATAAAGTAATAAAGCAATAAATTAAAATTGTTTAAAAAGAATCTGTGAGACTTAGTTTCTTACTATGTTATAGTCCAGCTGTGATCCAATATCCACCGAGCTGCGGTACAAAGGGCTGTTGTGTCCAGTCACGGCCTCCCAGTGTCCATGGAAGTCATATGACATGATGTTCATGAAGTCAAAGTGGCTGTTGAGATACAGGTAGAAAAAGATTGCTGAATAACAGGAAATTCTTTGCAACTACAAATAACAGACTATAAGGGCCAGAGAGCAGCCCCTCTATGGCTTTCTGTCATTCATCACATATTTTGATGAATGATTTTATTGGCTATTTTAGCTTTATTTGTTACATTTTTGAAAACACAAACCAGGAATCTGACTCCAATGCTGCGTTCACACCAAAGGCATAACAAACCTCGGGTTTAATTGCAAAGTTTATGGGCATCAGGAGTTGCACATTTCGAGCATTCGGGGGTCCGAGCATTACACAATAGAATTCAGTAAATTTAACTTTTACCAGAAAGCTCCTTGATCAGAAAAGCTGATCAAGGAGTTTTTTGGGGGATACAGACACTACCTGCAAAATGTCATCGCTTCTATAGACATTCTGCATATGAAAAATAGATAAATGTAAAGGGAGTTAAACTCAGGGTGACCAGACACCCCCAAATTCCGGGGACAGGTGGTCCAAAACGGGGACTAGAGCAGTGGCGGCTGGTGAAAAATATTTTTGGTGGGGCTGATATAGCCTAGTGTATGTCTCCAACTAATCCGGAATAAGAACTCAAATAAACAATTGGACAATACATACAATTTAACAGTAATGATTTAATTTACTATATAATAACAGTAACAGTGATGATTTGGGTCACTGTGACGGGGTTCTTTGGCCTCCAAGAATCCAGTCTCAGTCGGGTTACCGGTGTTGGTGATTTATTGAGCTCAAAAACTCAAAACAGGGTGCAAAAGAAACTAAACATGTACAAGATCCTCTGGGCCTCAGCCTCCCTCCAGTTACCAGCAATGTAACAAAGAAACAGAAAACAAAAACTGACGCTTTTCTTCCCACAGCCCTCATTAAATAGTTTAAGCCCCTCACCTCAGGCTCTCTTATTTCTGATTTCTTCTCATTAATCAGTTTTGTCCATATATTACCTCCACAAACAATTGATGTACAAAAACAAATAATTTTTACAACTTAATTCTTTTACACAGATTCATTTACTTATTCAATTACACCAAACTGGGTTTGAACCCAGCAAAGACGCAGCCAGACTGAAGATGACAAGTTCCCGTAGCATAAACACGTACACACCCACACCCCCCACACACCCACACACACACACACACACACACACACACACACACACACACACACACACACACACACACACACACCCACACCCCCCACACACCCACACACACACACACGGCTAACCCCACTGAAATATTAAGTGTGCACCCTCAATACGCCAGCAGGTAACCAGGAACAGCTTGTGTGTTTTAAGTTCATGGAGCTACTGGTCTCAGCGCGAGTGAATTGGTCCTCACAAACACAGTATAACAGGAATGTGTGTGTGGCGCGCAAAGTTAGAGGTTGTTTTAAGCGACGAGGTGGATTCGTCACAGTCACAATAACCATGACATGAAATGTTCATATCCTACAACAGAGATGTTCTTCTGGCAAACGGGTAGATAAATAAGGATCTCACCGAATTTGGTGGAAGCTGCATCTCGTTCGTTACATTCGCCATCTTCCCTCTAACTGTCTGCACCTGCGCTTGGGTTCAGAAGCCTGGTAAAGCGCAGTATTTTCAGCGCCCCAATACCATAAAGTTCCGAGACGCTGATTGGCCATTAAATTCACCTAGCAATAGTACATGATTGACAGATTCTCTGCAAATGTGGGGCTGTCTGATCAGCGCCCCCAGAACAGAGACGGTAGGAGTCTGTCTGTGGAAATCCACAAATTAATGACAGTAGATAGGGAAATGTAGTTTATATAATTAGTTTTGCTTATAGTTACACAGTCTAGAGAGTAAAACTGACATTTATGAGTTAATTTCTAAAAATATATTTTACGTTTCTCTCTTCTTATCAGGGAGGGCGGTGCCCCAGCGCCCCCTATGGGCCGGCCGCCACTGGACTAGAGCTGTCCCCAGAAATGTCCCCGATTTTACCGTTTTATGAATGATCATCAAAATAAATTTCCTCAAGGCTCAGATTCTGCTGAGCTCAATGAAATCATGAAAAAACGGTTTTCTTTCATTTTATTAATTTAATTATAAGAGTTTTTAACACTCAGGTAGAAAATAAGAAAAAAGAATTTCACATTAAAGAAAGTATAATGGCTTCAAACAAAATGATTGTTTTTAGACAATGTCCTGTTTCACTTGAGTGTAAGTGTGATGGACACTGAGATGAGACTTGTGAACTTTTAAAACGTGTGTTGGGATCTGGAGGTCTGTCCACTTTCTCCACCAGAGGGCGTACGAGATCTCCTGGAGCCTGAGCTGATTGCACCACCTGTCGCTCATCTGCTCATCAGGAGATCCGTACTTAAGGAGGCAGAGGGCTTCTCTCCAGTACCAGAGTGTTTGCCAGTAACGGTTAGCAAGCCTGAGCCAGCCAGCCTGTCTGTAACTCTGACCCCCCTGAGAACCCAACCTGATCTGTTTTCTCTCCTCTCTGCTCCTCAGATTGAACCTGCCTGAAACCTGAAACTCTGGAGAGTTTCTCTACCGGTAATCTGCCTGCCCGCTCTCAGAAGATTACCGGAAACTCAATCAGTGATCTGCCTGCACTCAGTAAAGCTCCGCCTCCGCCTCTGCCCTCTGCCTGCCGTCAGCCTCTGGACCCTCAAGGTTCCCACCCTCTGCAGCTCCGCTCCACTCAAGAACAGGTACAGATCTGAAATCACTCTACCTGCAAAATTCCCTGGACCTCCGCTAACTTCTCTGTCCTCCCCTGCAGTGAACCCACTTGTGACCAGTCAAATCACATCCTGGATCTGATTAACCTGTGTGCTCTAACAGAATCCTCTTGTGACCAGTCAAGCCACTCTCTGAACCACAACTACTTTAAACATTTATTGTCAAATAAATCTTTGAACTTTTCTTCTGCCTCCGAGTGTTCTGCATGTGGGTTAGGCATATTCGCCCGAACATGACAATGTGCAGGAAATGACTACATAAAAAAAACCCACTTGCCTAAATCTGCTCACATCCACATTTAAAGAAAAAAAAAATCAAATAATTTAAAATAAATGCAACAGTGTTAAACCCAGCTTTGTAAGGAAGAAGGATTATCTTTCACCATGTGCATACCTATCGAGCACAAATTGGTTGAAAAGACAACATCATTTATATACAAACTATCTTCATTTGATTCAGAACTGAAAGGTGAAAAGCCGTAATTTTGAGATTGTTTAAAAGACCTATTAAAAACAGGGTTTGTAACATCTCTTCAACGTCTATTATTGGACTAAAATGGGATGAAATCATACTGACCAAACAGCCCAATTTTCAAATACTATTTCTGAACTAAATTGCGACTATGACAGACTAAAAAACAACATCTAAACAGAGGTCTAAAAAGTATTGATGTTTATTACTCCACTATAATTACTCCTGTTTAAAAACACTTTTGTAGAAGTTAGAAAATCAAATTCAGCTTTTTAAAACTACTTCAAGTATAAAAGTAAAAGTAATGTAGAGATAATGTTAACAATTCTGGATGATAACTTCCTTAGACTTCATTTTCTTAGTTTTACAACTAATGGTAACAGAGTTAAATATAACTTTGCATCATCCCGAAGAATTATTTATTTTGGTATGTGGCGAACAACAAATTGGGGCAGCACCGAGTTCAACTGCAAAGAAAGGAATTGTCTGGATGAAACTAATTATTTTGATGGTTTTTATTTTCTTGAAATATCAACAGGCCATAATGAAAATGAGCTTAAATGAAAGAAAACTAACGAGTTCATTTTTAAAAATTAAGAAGCAGAAGGAAAAAGTTGTCTAAAAAAATTATTACTTGAGTGAGGTATAGATAGCCAACATTTTACTTAAACATACTTACACTATGCAACATTTTTCAGTTAATTAATGTGTTCCATAACGTTTTGGATGATTAAATTAGTAATTTCAGGTCGAACAAAGGTTTTCTCGGCCGCCCTGGTGGTCTGTGGGGGAAATACCGCACTTGCAATTGCAGGAGCCCTCGGCCCGCACCCACAGGCTCAGAAGTCTCGCGAGAGTCGGTCTTGCTTTACGGCGGAAGCGCTACACGCCCCCAGTTAAAAGCATGCTCGTTACTAGCGCAGGGGCGATCTTTCTGCAGTTATCATGGCGGAACCAGCGTGAAAACAGCGAAAGCCCATGTCGGAGCAGGCAAGAAAGAGGAAAAGGGCTCCGGACAGAGAGAGGAGTCGTACACGGGTGAACATCGGGCAAGCTTTTTCCGAATGGCGAGAGCTAAAATAAAAAGAAGGCTGCAAGGCTGATGCGGACCTCGCGTTTTTGCTGATGCGATTGTAAGTAACATTGGAATGGTTTCTCTCTCTCTGTGTGCATGTTCCTACTTTCACTGTGTTAGTCATTCGTTGCGTTCGCCAAAACAACCGCGCCTGGCTTGACGGAGAAACCAGGAGAACAGCTGAGCATATTCACGACAGTGCACTTTTACTTTCGCCCTCTGGGGGGAGCCTCGCTGGAAAATCAACACCGGTTGCATAGTGTACCTTTAACCAGAGTAACAAAATATTTGTACTTTGTTGACGCCTCTGGATCTAAAAGGCGTCTGGTGTTTTGGGGGAAGGATAAAGATGGTCACAAAACTCAAAATCTCTCAGTGTTAGAAAAATGAGACGTCTCTTTAATAACTACTTATTGGTTAGATTTTGTATAGATAAATACGAAGTCAAAAATTAACTATGGAAGATAGATTATTTAGAGCATGATAATATGTATTTCTCGTTCTCCATGTTGAGGAAACGCTGTACCATGTACCAGCTTTGAATAATTCAGGACTGGGCAACTTACGGTGCAATCTTGTTGACCTCATAAGCTTTGTCAATAGTTGAAATGAAGCCGGCCACATTGACTGAGAGAAGCAGCTTTGTCTTCCTGTTTTCTGTGGCATCATCCTGGAACGCCTTGGCCAGCTCCTGTTGACAGAAACAAAGAGCCATGGTTCATCGCTGCTGTCTGGATGGTGTAAACCAGAGGGGGCTGCCTTCCTTTTGTAATCAACAAATTGCATAAAAACCTAAAGTGATCATCTCTTCATCTAACAGGTTCTCTAAAATGAACTCTCTTCACTGCCTTAAGGACACCGCTACGTAAAGCAAAGCGCTATGCTAATTCATTTGTACCAACAGCCATTAGACTCTATGCAGGCTGGCTGGGCTGTTTTCTTTTTTAAGACCACTCTGTTATCTTTACTTTTTTTCCTGTGTTTTCTATTATAGATTCTGGTCCCAAAGCTGCCTGACACATCTTATTTCTTATGTTATTAAATGTTTATTTATTTTTTTGATGTTTTTCTTGTGTATTGTTCGAAGGAATTGTCCCAATCGGGATAAATAAAGTTGTCTAATTGCTTGTTATACCTGGTGCCATAATGGGCTTTAAGTTTACAATAATGAAATAAGATATTGGATGAAATTGGTATTAGGCACTAAACAGAAAGAAGTGAAAATTAAAAAGATGGTCCCATCTAAACCTCAGAATGGTTTTCTTTTTTTTAACAAAAAAAAACATTTTTTTTCAAAAGATGGTTAGATAAATGATTATAACAAGAAAAACTTTAAAAGAAAGCATGTCAATGCATTGCAGGGCTTGCTAACCGTAACCAGCAGAGTGAACCTCTCCCTGTCCTCCGGTGGGCTGCCGTTGTGTCCAGGGTATTCCCAGGCGATGTTTAGCCCATCAAAGTTATGGCTTCGCAGGAAGCTTATCGCTGACTTAATGAAAGCTTCACGACTATCAGGTTTGCCAACCAAGGAAATAAATCTGAAAGGAAAACATTTGATTTCAGTTTATAGAAAAACGTTCATTGCATTAAAGAGTAAAAAGTGTTTAAAGTAGAACCTACGGGCTAACCCCATTCACTGTGCCTCCCACAGACAGCAGAGTCTTCAGCGCAGGGTTGCTGAGAGACAGAAAGACAAGAAATAGAGTCAAGAGAAGGAGACGTTAACAGTCACTCTCCTGTCAATACGCTGCAGTTTAGCAGTAGGCCAGTTTCATTCATCCATCCATCCTGTAATACATCCATATACAGGTGCTGGTCATAAAATTAGAATATCATGAAAAAGTAGATTGATTTCAGTAATTCCATTTAAAAAGTGAAACTTGTATATTATATTCATACATTACATACAAACTCATATATTTCAGATGTTTATTTTGTTTAATTTTGATGATTACAAATGACAACAAATGAAAATCTCAAATTCATCATATCAGAAAATTAGAATATTACTGAAGACCAATAAAAACAAAGGATTTATAGAAATGTTGGCCAACTGAAAAGTATGAACATGAAAAGTATGAGCATGTACAGCACTCAGTATTTAGTTGGGCCTCCTTTGGCCTGTATTACTGCAGCAATGCGGCGTGGCATGGAGTCGATCAGTCTGTGGCACTGCTCAGGTGTTATGATAGCCCAGGTTGCTCTAATAGTGGCTTTTAGCTCTTCTGAATTGTTGGGTCTGGTGTATTGCATCTTCTTCTTCACAATTCCCTATAGATTTTCTATGGGGTTAAGGTCAGGAGAGTTTGCTGGCCAATTAAGAACAGGGATACCATGGTCCTTCAACCAGGTACTGGTAGCTTTGGCACTGTGTGCAGGTGCCAAGTCCTGTTGGAAAATGAAATCTGCATCTCCAAAAAGTTGGTCAGCTGCAGGAAGCATGAAGTGCTCTAAAACTTCCTGGTATGTGGCTGCGTTGACCCTGGACCTCAGAAAACACAATGGACCAACACCAGCAGATGACATGGCACCCCAAACCATCACTGACTGTGGAAACTTTACACTGGACTTCAAGCAACGTGGATGAAGTGCCTCTCTTCTTTTCCTCCAGACTCTGGGACCTTGATTTCCAAAGGAAATGCAAAATTTACTTTCATCAGAGAACATGACTTTGGACCACTCACCAGCAGTCCAGTCCTGTTTCTCTTTAGCCCAGGCAAGACGCTTCTGACGCTGTCTGTGGTTCAAGAGTGGCTTGACACAAGGAATGCGACAGCAGAAACCCATGTCTTTCATACGTCTGTGTGTGGTGGTTCTTGAAGCACTCACTCCAGCTGCAGTCCACTCTTTGTGAATCTCCCCCACATTTTTGAAGGGGTTTTGTTTCACAATCCTCTCCAGGGTGCGGTTATCTCTCTTGCTTGTACACTTTTTTCGACCACATCTTTTCCTTCCCTTCGCCTCTCTATTAATGTGCTTGGACACTGAGCTCTGTGAACAGCCAGCCTCTTTAGCGATGACCTTTTGTGTCTTGCCCTCCTTGTGCAAGGTGTCGATGGTCGTCTTTTGGACAACTGTCAAGTCAGCAGTCTTCCCCATGATTGTGTAGCCTATAGAACTAGACTGAAAGACCATTTAAAGGCTTTTGCAGGTGGTTTGAGTTAATTAGCTGATTAGAGTGTGGCACCAGGGGCCATCAATTTTGAACCTTTTCACAATATTCTAATTTTCTGATATGATGAATTTGAGATTTTCATTTGTTGTCATTTGTAATCATCAAAATTAAACAAAATAAACATCTGAAATATATGAGTTTGTATGTAATGTATGAATATAATATACAAGTTTCACTTTTTAAATGGAATTACTGAAATCAATCTACTTTTTCATGATATTCTAATTTTATGACCAGCACCTGTATACGCTGTGTCTTGGTTATACTAGATCAAGTCTGTTGGGGTAACAACTCAACCATTGGCTGATTCCAGGAAATCCCTGGGAAGTTCTGGCTCTTCCCTGAGGAAACATTCTGCAGCACTGTGCAGAAGGCACACTGATCAAATGAGAGATTTAAATTAATGAGAATTATAATGCTAATAGTTTTGTTAGAGCGTTATAGATTTAAAAAAATAGGTTTTCATAGCCTTCATATACTAAATATAATTTCCTGTGGATGATTTATATAACCAAAGATTGATTTTTAAAAACAACTTTTTCCACTTTCCCTCCAGAAACCATTCATTCCCATTACTTTATGAATTGACTGATAAATGTTAATATAATACTGTTGCTTTAGCCTGGCCATAAACACAGTCTGGTAAGGCTCAATGGTCTCCAGTCTAAACAACGGTCTCCAAAACCAGAAGGCGGGGCCCATAATGCAACAGGGTTTTTCAGTAGCCATAGCACCAGGCTCAAAATGAACAAGATGCAGCTGCAGTGCGGGCACTACAAGGAACCCGAATCAATAAAATCAGTGTACATCAGCCATGGTGCAGTCTGGGTCTTTTAGTGCAGAGTCTTTTAGCGCTGCACTGGTATTAAAGGAATAGTACACCCAAAACATGATTAGCCTTCATTTTCTACTCACCCCCATGCTGAACAACACTCTGGAGTACTTTTTTGATATCTCAAATGCATCTGGAGATCTGGGAGGCTTCTTGCTGTCTGCTGACATTCAAATAATGGAGGTCTATGGCGCCCGAGGCAGAAAGGTCCATAAAAGTCCACAAAAAACGTGTCAATATTCCTCCATACTGCTCGTCCAATGTATTCCAAGTGTCCTGAGTGGGTAGCGTCCAGAATTTACTCGAAACAAAGTCATTTAGAATGTTTTTAGAGCATAAACAGTAGTGTATAGGATTTCCTGAAAGCGCGTTCACGAGTCTACGGAAACCGCGGCAGACCAAACCAGATGAAAGTGCGCATTCAGCGTCTGCTCTGCCGATAATGCAAGCGTAGAAGAAGAAATGTGCTGTTTACCTGTGCAAAGAAAGAAACAACGAAAGAAAAATGTCTGAGGACTTCAGTGTTGAGGAAGAGCATGAGTTCTTTGCCGAGCTGAATGCGCACTTTCATCTGGTTTGGTCTGCCGCGGTTTCCGTAGACTCGTGAACGCGGTTTTAGGAAATCCTATAAACTACTGTTTATGCTCTAAAAACATTCTAAATGACTTCGTTTCGAGTAAATTATGGACGCTACCCACTCAGGACACTTGGAATACATTGGACGAGCAGTATGGAGGAATATTGACACGTTTTTTGTGGACTTTTATGGACCTTTCTGCCTCGGGCGCCATAGACCTCCATTATTTGAATGTCAGCAGACAGCAAGAAGCCTCCCAGATCTCCAGATGCATTTGAGATATCAAAAAAGTACTCCAGAGTGTTGTTCAGCATGGGGGTGAGTAGAAAATGAAGGCTAAACATGTTTTGGGTGTACTATTCCTTTAAAAAACTTAGACAACATATAGGCACCAATTAGCATTTGTAACAGTGGTATCAATAATGATACCATAACATGTGGAGCATATAAAAGGTTTTTGACAAGGACTCCATACTGGAAATGCTGTGTAATTTTTAGATCCTTCAGATCAACAACACAATAATATAATAAATTAGGATGCTTAACAGATATATTCTTTGTACCTTTCATTTAATTGTTTCTGTGCTTTCATTTTTGTTTTTAAAACTGTCAGTAGCTCCACAATCAATAAAATAATACTGTATAAAAATATCTGACCATATGGAAATGATAGGCATCTGAAAGGTGTAACTATGGGGACTTACTAGTTTTTGAGGCTGTTAAGGCTGCTATACAGCTGCTCATCATTCCATTCGATGGGAATAATCTGGTTGAAGCTGTTGATTGTAGCCAGAGAGTAGATAACATGGGTGCAGAGGAAAGGGTCAATGTTGTCTGGAGTGAATTTAGCACCACTTGGTCTGTACTGGGCCCAGTTGGTCATGTGACACACCAGCTTACTGGATGCAGCTGAGAACATTTGGAGAGTAAAGGCAGAGATGTTAAGCTTTCTAGCTAAAAATATCAACTTTTACTCCCACTGCAGAAACTTACCGATGTGCAGAATGAGCAGAAAGCCCAAAGCGACTAGAGGCAAACCAGAGAGAGGGATGAAGAACGAGAAAATAATGAATCACCTTTTATCTACATACTGAAATAAAACATATTAAACAAAAAATAGCCACAGAGAAACAAATTAAATTAATTTTCTTAGCAGCTAACTCAACAGACCCCCCCTCTTCATAAGATCCAAATGCCAGAAAAATCATTTAGATCAGATTTCTCATAAATTTAATGATCTTCAGATACATCTTGTATCTGAATAGTATAATGCAGTCTGTTTGCGCTTTTAAAACAATATATAAAATATTTCTCTGAAAGCTCTTCACAAAAGATAAAACATTCCTTTTTCCTTTTTTATTTATTCTTTGTTTTTTTATTTATTTCGTCATAATTCATAACCATTTCAGACACTTTATTGCAATTTGTCCCGATATTCTACATTTAGAAAGGATTTGCAAAATACTTTGTTTGATTAAAAAAAAAAACTACATGCGTTAAATGCAAGTTTTACATACAATGTTTCTGGCTTTATATGGTTAAGATAAATTCATCTTTGATAAGTTACTGTATATTATAGAAAAAATAAAAGTGCTGCTACTGTAGCGATCTAAAAGCTGCTTTTCTATAGAGCTGCTGAGATCCCTGTTGCTAACTGAGCAGATATGCCTACTAATTACTCAGCTAACAGTAGCTTATTAACCTTTAATTAGCTGAGCAGCAGTCTGCCTATTTTTTGCAGAGGGAAAAATTAGACTCTCTGGTTTGAATCCAAATAAAAAATGTCAAATTGCATTTCAGAGTGAAGAAATAATGACAGTTTACCTGAAAGTAGTTTAGTCATTTTTTCTTCTTGTGAGTCAAAACCACCTGCTAACCTGCAGATTAGAAGTTAAAAAATTAGCAGACTTTTAAACACAGATGTTCATGAATGAATTTGTTTTTTTCTTTGATCTCCTTTTTTTTTAAATGCAGCAACTAGGAAAATAACATCAATCTAGTTTCGCATAACTCTGGAAATATGAAAATGCTGATATTATGAGGCAATATACAATATAAACAATTACCTTTCTTCAAGTGGAACAAAGAAGAGTACTGATTTTACTAAAGAGGGATCTTATTTATATTTTACCAATTAATGACTAATAGAAGGTGGCAAAGTACAGCTGATAAGAAGTCAGCATGCCAAATATGATTAATAACGCCTACTTCAAAGAAAGACCAACCGCAGTTCTGGGAAAAGGTCTGTGGTTATCAGGGTGGGAATAGTCATCGTAAGTTAGTGTAATCATTCAGCATCTCTACAAATATGAAAAAGATACGAAAACATCTAATGAAAAGGAGGACTAAACAGTCTAAAGATAAAATAATAAAGTACCTGAGAACAAATCTTGCAACTTTACGGTTGGAATTTTGACCTAAAGGGTTTAGGCAGAAGTAAAACTTATTAAATCCTTTTTATTTTACATTTTCTAGATCCGAATTAACACCACATATATTACTTGCTTAAAGCAATAAACACAGAGGGTGGGAAAGGAAAGAAAAAAAAGAAAAAAACAAACGACAAACATTACTAAATGTTTAGAAAGTATAGATCAGAAAAAAATGAGAGCGAAAACTGTTTTCTTAGATTGTTTTTCCGTATTACCTTTATTGTTTTGGGTATTTTTTTCTGGGTTTAAATGTTTTCATAGATTAATGTCCTCTTTTATTGTAGAGTTGATCCATTATTGTGCAATGAGCTCCATGAGCATTTCCAGTTAACAGAAGTATTTTTTTTTTCTTATCTAAGTTAGAACTTTAAACATTTATTATTAACTATTAAACAATATTTACTACTAATCCGTATGAGTTACTTTATATGCATCCATAGTTTTGGTTTCATACATTTAATGAGCTTAAGAGCAGCTAATATTAAAGGGAAGTTTCTATTCAAATGAAACATTATTAATTTACTAAACTGTAAAACTAAACTGACTTTAGAAATTTTAAATATTAAAACGCAAATATTTGTTAAGTAAGTTTAGTTAAAGGTCCCCAACTTTAACTAAACTTACCAACTTTGATCCCCCTCCAGAGATTTGCTTTTGTGATTTCACACATCTCAGCAATTATATTGAACCTGATATATATAAGAAATAAAATACGATATTTTGGTAGACATGTGCTTAAGCAATTTTTTTCCTTAAGGAATTTTGCTGTTGAGGATCAAATGTCAATCGCAGGAATGAAGAAAACCCTTAGTTATTTATTAATACTGATTAAATAACTTAATAAATGATTGTAAAGCTTATTGCAACATTTTTCATTTATTTCAAATGTGTAAATTACCTATGAAATATTTATTAAATAATAAATTGCCTAAACACTCCCTGCCTGGCCTCTAGGTGGCACTATAAACTAAACCCTGGTAGAGTGAGTCCTTAGGTAGGAGGACTTCAGTTACTGGTTGCATGTCCAAAACTGGTTAGCGAGGGCCTGAACTTGTCTCCATTGCTTTATGTTTAAGTTGTTTTGCAGGAAGTTTCCAAGAGGTGGCAGAAGGTAAGATATGCATGTGAGGAGCATTGATGGAGAGAGGTTGAATGGGTTCTCTGGATCCGAAGATACTGGGGAAAATGGTCTTGCATTTATGATGGAGGTAACTTCCGCCATGAGCGTGCTCAACACTATATGAGTTAGATGTACATTGTTTTGTAGAAGCATGGAGTCCAGAATTCTTCGAGCAACACCAATTATCCGCCACCAGGAGCCTCCCATGTGGGAAGCAGGAGGCGGGTTGAATTCCCAGGCTGCAGCCTTGGTCTTCTAGATCTTGCAGCACGGCCCTGTCCATTCCTATCTCCTTGGATGCCCCTATGAAGTTAGTGCCTCTATCGGATAAGAGTCTTTTGGCGGGGCCTCTTAGAGCAGAAAAGCATCATAGGGCGTTTGCACAGCTGGACATGTCTAGGGATTTGATCACCTCAATTTGTACTTCTCTCGAACTCATGCAACTTAATATGATGGCGCAGCTCTTGCTTAGGGTTTGTCCGCCTCTGGTAGGCCTGGTAGGGTTTCTTTCAGCTTTCCAATTAGTTTGTAGCAAACAATGCATTTGTGGATTACTGAGTTGACAGGTCTTTTTTCTCCTAAAAGCCAAAGACCTGCAGCCCTGATTGGGTGGCAACCCTGGTGTTTTACCTGCTCGTGGTGGTGACGAGTGAGCAGGAGAGAGGAATGAGTCTTTGGGAAGGATTATTAGGGTCTTTTCAAAGTTCTCAAGCTCAGAGTATTTGATCTAGATCTATAAGACCAACGTTGAGGACTGGGCTGAGTTTTTGCAGAGGGTTTTGCATAGGCATTAATTTGCCAACTTGAAGAGCCAATAATTCCTTTTCAAAGGTTGCTTGTTGTGTCTCTTGGATAATGATGTTCTTTGCTCGAGTCATTTCTTCAGGCTTTCAATGTAAGTGACATTTGTGACACACTTTGCATTCATTCACTGTTTGGAATGCTGCCATTGAATGACTTTGCATTGCGGATTAGGAATTCTACTGCTCTCACTAGGGACTTGAAGGTGGAGAAGCGTTGAAAGCATTTGCACATGAGTATTTGGAGGTGAGTCACCAGAGTTTTCACTTGTGGCCTTACTTCCCAATCTTTATCTGGTCCAATTAACTCTTTCCAAGTTTGTTTTGTTTCAGCAGGTGCATTGTAGATGAAGAATCGTCCAGTGAACCAAGTTGTCTTTGTCAATTGAGATGTTGTCAGCAATTGTGAGGCATGGTCCACAGGGTCTTCCTCTGTACACAGTGCCACTGTTCTGGCTGTGAGTACTGATGAATATGCTGCACTGTGTTGTGGACATATGTGTAGAATCTTTTGGATTGGTTATATATATAGTCAAGGACTACCTTACTGTCTGTGTAAAAGTGAACTGGGTCCAGCTATAGGTATAACTCGTCCCAAATTAGAAGGGCAATCTCAACTGCCAAGACAGCGGGGAACAGTTCAAGCCTTGGTGTGGTAGGTTCTGACTTGGGAGAGTCTTGCCTTGCACATTATAAATACTACCTCAACATAATCATCTGGTTGTACTGCTTTCAGGTAGGCTACAGAACCAATAGCTTTGATTTAAGCATACAGTTTGTTGGCTTTTGCTTGCCTGAGAGACGTGGATGTGTAAGTCTTGGGATATGAAGTTCTTTTAGATCTTTGAGAGAATCTTTCCAACTTTCCCATTTGTTTTGCTTGTCCTCTGATAGCTGTCTGTCCCATTCTGAACACTCTGAAGAGAGTTGACGGAGTAGAGAGCGAGAAAGGCTTGTGTTTTATGGAGCAGGTTAATGGCTTACGCTGGAGATTCAAAGAGATTAATAGTCCTTTGCTGCTACCTTTGCGCAGTCCATATACAGCAACAAGAGAAGATAATGTGTTTCCAAATACATGTACCTTCATATGATAATGAATTACCTATTTGTTTACATTACTGACCTAACTGAGGTAGTTCTGATGGTCTTCACAAACCATGAGAACACTGTTGAGACATCACTGGAGTACTTAGCACTAGAACAACCCTTAATTTCCCTCATCCAAATTGCAAAGCAAGAAAACCTCTTCTTGCTCCTTTCTCAGAGTTCCTTTCTGATTTGGTATTAAATACTGACAGGGTCATCATAGTGGGAGATTTTAACATCCATGCTGACATTGAAGGCGATAGCTTAAGAGCAGCCTTTATCTTAGACGCTATTGGCTTTGTTCAAAATGTGAATAGTCCCACACAGTCTCATCTTCATATTTTGGATCTTGTGCTGATTTACAGCATAGAATGTGAAGAAATAACAGTATTTTCTCACAACCCTGTCCTCTTTGACCATTTTTTGATAACCTTCAGGATTACTTCAAAAGAGCTCTCCTTCCCCAAAAGAAGGTCCTACTTTAGCAGATCATTATCAGATAGTGCAGCTATACATTTTAAAGAATCTGTTTCCCTTTCTCTCTCCTCTGTGTCGCTTAGCAGTGCTGCAGAGTGCAAAAGCTTAGTTTATTCCCCTTCACAGGCAGTTTACTACCTTATAAGAGGACCCTTTGTGAAGCAAGAGTAGCATATTTCTCCTCATTAATAGAGCAGACTGAGAATAATCCCAGATAAGCCAGCTTATCTGGGATTGTTAAACTTGTTAAGTCTTGTTAAGCCAGTTGCCAAACTCACCCAGAGCCATAGCTCTGTTGAACCGTCCATTCCACCTGCTCTTAGCAGCAATGATTTTATGGGATTCTTTATAAATAAGATTGATCTTATTAAAAATAAGATCATTAGCACTCCTCTATCCGCAATTTGTTTGTCTCTGGGAGGTGGGGCAGCATCCGAGGTAGTCATGGAATCTGAACCGGGTTTAGACTGCTTTGATCTAGTTGAACTTTCAGACTTAGCAAAACTATTGTCTTCATCTAAGCCTTCAACTTGGATGTTAGATCCAGTTCCAACCAAGTTATTGAAGGAGATCTCCTCCTCCATTTTAGATGTGATTAATACAGGATCCACAGGGATCAGTGCTAGGACCATTTCTCTTTACTTTATACATGCTCCCAATTGGTAGAGTTATTAGACAGCATGGGATTAATTTCCACTGTTATGCTGATGATGCGGGTGAGAGGCGGGGTCTACCCTGGACAGGTCTCAAGTCCATCGCAGGGCAACACAGAGACAAAAAGGACAAACAACCGTTTATGCACATACTCACACTTAAGGAGAATTTAGAGAAGCTACTTAACCTAACAGTTGTTAGGATTAATAAATGATACTTTATTAATCCCTTTGGGCGATTCTTCTTGCTGTCTCGATGTTTTACCCACAGGTTTTATTGAGAATGTTTTACTTGTTTCAGAGTCTGATTTGATTTAAATTATAAACACATTCCTCACTTTGAGTATTTTCCCCCAGGATTTTAAAACAGCAATTTTTAAACTTTTGTTGAAAAAGAAAAGCTTGAACAAATTACTCATGCAGAACTACAGACCCATCTCAAATCTTCCCTTTATTGGTAAGATTATTGAAAAAAGTTGTTTTATAACAGTTAAATGCCTTCTTAACAGCAACCAGGTGCTTAAATGTCATCCAGTCAGGTTTCCTTGCTAACTGCACCACAGAGACTGCCCTGTTCAAT